CCGATCATCGCCACTGTTACAGCTAACATTAAAGTGGGTACTCTTGGCAAGATTAATTCAAGTGAATGCTTGCAGCTCCGACAGATGTCATCCCGACTTCATCACATTGAAAACCTTCAGTGGACTGACATTGACAGGTTCATTTTTTCAAAATATAAAGTCCGTGGCCTCACTGAAAATGATGAACACTCCCTTCAAGAAATGTACAGAGCCCTCTATGGCGAAACAGTCGAGACTTTGCCGGCCGTTAGGGAAATAAAAACTCTATACCTTGGATCAGAAGTCTTTGGATCTGCCAAGTCTCAAAGTGTGAGATCTTCTTACATCACTGCCTACTGGACAGACGGGGACGGGAAAATTGGTTGGGGGGTTTCTCCGAGACCTGGAAAGGTATTGAGATACCTTCAGCACTCAGCAAGAGTTGACGGCATAGAGAAGAGACACATCCTTGCAGAAGTTCAATGGTATCGGGAACTTGAAGATAAACTAAAAAACCATTGTGGCCGACCAGTGGAAGCCTGGCACTCTTCCATGTATGTTGACTCTGGTCCATCTTCGTTTATGCCCATTCAACGAATTAAGGGTAAATTCGTCAAAATTGAGGGACAAATAGGTACCAGGACAGTTACATTTGTGTCACCAAGGGACAGATTTGTGTGTGTGTAATTTATTGGCTTATTGTTGTTGTAAAGTTTTGCTTTAAATAGAAATTTTAATTGTACATTCTATATTTTAGTTCTTGTATGTGTATTATTGTAGATATAATTGTATACATGTATGATCATTACCCAGTGATGTGCCCAAGTGTTATTTATTGTACATATACCTTGAACTATGACATGATATCCTGAATATAAATTCACGTTCATCCTGTGTTTTGTATTTTTGTTATTTCTGCATGGCTTGGTGAAATGTAAGATTTGGAATGAACACCTCGACAGCAGTTTAGTTATAATGCTATCAATTTATGGATTAGTTCTGAGAAACAGAGAGGGAAACAGCCATATATAACAGGGTACCAATCCGGTGTTCAATCGCATCGCCATGTCTGATAAAGGTATATTCGATTTGTAAAATAGCACTAGTAAAACCACGATGCCTCTCTTGTGGTGGTGTACATCCTGTGATAAATTTCAAATCATTTATGGTGCTAAGTTCATATTACAAAATATTTGAACAAAGCGCAACAACAAACTGAGAACCAGAAGAAGCACCAGTAGAAACATAATTCTTAATTTATTGAGGCTTACATCTTTTATGTGAGCTTGTTAAACAACCAAGAGAAATTCACTGTACTACGCTATATACAAATTAAATAAAAAATCTACCCTCAGTGACCTTTATTTTGCATCTTTGAAATAAAATCATGATGTGTTGCGATATCTAAATATTGCCAAAATATATGATGGCCATAAGTATGATACACTTATGTAACGTATTACAGATGAAATGTTTTCATCGACAAATGAGCTTGGTGACATAAAATCAAATATGTAGACATATAAGTCCACCATGTTCCGTTATACAAGCCTACGAACTGAAAGAAGCGGCAATAAAACCATGATGTGTTGCCAACACATCCTAACATTTGAAAAGTATCTAATGGGGTATTTTATGAAAGCATTCGTTTGAAGCTTTAAGCCAAAGATGCACTTGAAAGAGTGCATTACCGACGTAATAATAATCTCAAGTGCACACAAGTTGAAGAAGCGGCAGTAAATTCTTGATGTGTTGCACCGTCAAATACATTTATAAACAGTATTATGTATTCAACTAAAGCGTTGGGATAGAATATTGCAGCAAATCCACTTTGGAAACGATCTGAACAGCTTAACCAGCAGACAGAAGAAGCAGACATAAAATCACCTATGTATTCAAACATTTCCAAACAAATCCAAACAAATCCAAACATTTCCAAACATTTCCAAACATTTCCAAGCTTGGAAATATGACCTTTCCAAATTTTGGAATGGTCATATTTCCAATTGGAATGACGGTATTTCCAAGTTTTGGAAATGTTGGAATGGATGATATTTTGTCCAGTGTTAAATGAGGCACCTCGTTGGGAGCATTTTAAGATGCCTACGATCGAGGAAGTATTGCCTGATCTGACAATTTCGAAGGTTTTTTGTACAAGTGACTTGTCTGCTGGATTTTTGCATCTTGAACTTGATCACGAATCCAGTTTGCTGTGTACTTTTGGAACTCCGTTTGGACGGTACAGATGGACCAGACTACCATTCGGACCATCCCCAGAAATCTTCCCGAAACCCTCAAACCAAGCTTTGGAAGGACCACCAGGTGTCAAATTTATTGTGGATGACACGGTTGACCATGACAAGAATCTTGAATGCCTTATGCAGCGTTGTCAGAAACTTGGTATCAAGTTGAAGAAGGAGAAACTGAAGTTGTGCAGAAAGGAGGTTACCTTTCTTGGTCACATCTTCACTGATCAAGGACTTAAGTGTGACCCACAGCAAATAAAGGCTGTGTTGGAAATGTCAGCACCACAGAATGTTGAGGACATTCAATGCTTCGCAGTTCGTCAACTACCTTGCAAGATATTTACCTCGTCTGTCAGGAGTAATGCAACCACTTCCAAAATTAACACATACTGACATTGACTGGACATGACGTGAACACAATGGTCAGGGAAGCTCCAGAATTGGAATACTACAATGAAGAAGTAGAACTGATACTGCAATGTGATGCTAGTTCCTCTGGACTAGGTGCTGTGCTGTTACAACAAGACAACCAAATTGCATACGCTAGCTGTGCCCTAACACCGTCTGAGTCCAGCTATGCACTGATTAATATTGAAAAGGAAATGCTGTCTGACTTCAAAAGTTCCATACATACACAATTGGTCGGAGAGTTACACTGAAATACGATCAAAACCACTGGAGGCAATAACCAGCAAACCCTTATATTGTGCTCCCACATGACTACAGTCCATCATTCTGGCTATGAAGCAGTATGACGCCACTATCAAGTACAAGAAAGGTGCAGATGTTGTCTTCGCAGACACATTGTCAAGAGCGTATTTGCCAAGCACAGCGGGAAAGATTGAAGAGCCTTTCAGACAGGTGAAAATGGCAAAGGTTTGCCGATAACGGATGACAGGATCAAGCAGATCAGAGAAGAGACTGAAAAAGACGAAACTCAAATAAGTTTTGTTAAGTGGGTTGCCAGAGGAGAGATACTCTTTGCCGATGGAGTTATACCCATACTTCAACTGTAGAGACGAGATCACAGAACAAAATGGTCTCATATACAGGGGAGAAAGGCTGGTCATACCTCACAACCTACGAACTACAATGAAAACCAGGATCCATCCTCTCTCCAAGGGATTGAAGGTTGTTTACGGCCTGCAAGAGTTGTATTGGCCGAAAAAATCTGACGACATTAAACAGTACATCAGAAAATGATGATCAAGAACTTATGGACACCAAAGTCCTGGCTGACTTGGTCGAGGGGCTTAAGCATCTTCCAAGTCAACAAAGAGAAGCATTGCAGACTATGATCATTGATCACGTTGGCTGCTTTCCAGATGCCCCTGGTACTGCCAACAGCATAGTGTAAGTGAGTAAGTGAGTGAGTGAGTATGGTTCTACGCCACTTTTAGCAATATTCCAGCAATATCACACACACACACACACACACACACACACACACACACACACACACACACACACACACACACACACACACACACACACACACACACACACACACACACACACACACACACACACACACACACACACACACACCCACCCCATGGTGTTAGATGGTTATACTTTTTAATGCATCCAGATGATCATTACTGATGAGGGATGACTCAGTCCCTCTGACTGCCTGATAAAGATCATTCACAATAAACATACAAATGTTTGACGTATCAAGCGTTTCTTTCTTACCTTTGATGTGAGTACTAGTGTGTATTTGGATGACGGCGTGTGTCAATACGATATAAGTACCATCAAAGTTTGTCTATCTCTAAATTGATTCAAAATAATATATTTTAGCTTATGTTGGAGTAATAATGTCGATGTAATACTGAAATCTTAAAACATAATTAATTAATTAAAACATAAAATTTAGATATTTGTGCTCTATTCTATCCTCTTCCCTGGACCCTGGTACATTTGCAGTTGTAAAATTAGTGATGCAGTTCCGACAGATCAGAGACATACGTGTCTCACTACACATACGTGATTCATGATGTATACTTATTATATTGTCCACCCATGTCACAAAAACTGGACTGATCATTGCTATTATTCAGGACAACGTGATCAGCTGATCATAAATAATATATATATTTTATAACACCTCCACTAAAACAGAAGCTTTAGCAAATACACCCCACAATCATCCCGTTCAAATTTCAGTGAAGAAAACAGCCATTGCACTTCTTGGTCCTCCCTCTAATTTCAGCTTAAAAGCTCCACCTTTTGTTAATCAAGAAAACAGTTGGAGATTAAAAGGGTATTTAGGTGAAATTAGTCGTTTCATAACCTTTACATGAATTTCACCCCACTGCAATAATGTTCTCAGAACAAGAGGAGCACAAGAATACCAGCAGCTACATGCTTCTTTTAACATTGTGATATTTCTACAAAATGTATAATTTCGTTGTGCCCTACTTGAAACGTATTGCCCCAGGTATTAATTTAGTTATAATACAAACGTATCACATTTGTGTACCACAAAATGTAGACTTTTCAAGGCCGACATCATTCTATTTACGAACTTGCAATTGCTTCACGTTAACAGGGCCTCAGTAAGGTAATCTGCAAGAACATCCACGAAGTGCAGCAAGCTACGTCTATAGTTACTAAATGACATATGGTATATCAAACTTGTTATAAAATACAAATGATTAGATGTTTAAAATGTTACCCTATCTATAGTTAAATGCTTCCTTATTTGGATTTCGATACCATTAGGTATTAGTAACTCTACATGAAAGAGTAACTCGTCCCGTGACTACTAACCCAGAGTGTGGTGTATCCAACAACCTGACACAGCCGCCATGAAAACCAACCACCCTTCTCCCGCCATGTTGACTAACCAGGAAGTAAAGCTCACACATGTGTTAGAGTAGGCGTGAATGGAAAGTTCCTATTGACATGTACAGGAAAATATCGTTCATGTCGTACATTTGTTACCAAGAGGATATAGTTTACATGTAAATTCTGGTGCGTTCGCCTTCATTTCAAATCCATCTGAAAACACCACCAACACTTTCATGATCACTAGGCTGGAACTGAAACATAGATATAATTTTGCCCAGCTTTTCAATAAAGATTTCATCATCGAAGACTTGGTTAAGTCATTCAAGGGATGTTAAGGTAGACAATAAGAGGAATTTACTGAAGATGACATGGAGCTTCTCAACATGATACGCAAATCTATCCAATACTTTGAGTTTTCATATTTTACACACTGACACTTATATAATTAGGTTGGTGGATCTTGTGGCCAGGCTAAGTGACTTGTATGATCGCGTGATGTTGTATTCCGACGTGTGGATGATTGGTTACAATGGCAATCACTAAGTTGTCTGGTCAAGACTCGATTGTTTTCAGGGTGACGCCAAACGGTTGAAGTATTGCCAAGTGTTACTTCAGGCAACTAGCAGACAAAAGTATGCTTTTAGGACAAAGTGTGTGAATGGTGGGTGCTATCAATAGAGCAGGAGATGCTTACCCTTTTCTCGAACAGGTGGTATCACACATTTTTCTTCACTAATGATGGACAGTTAAAGTTGCATGAATCAGGTACATATTCGCTGAAAGGAACCTGGTCACATGAAGTGAGGTGTGGTGAGGTAAATTTTAACGTCACGTTCAAAATTATTTCACTCATAAATGAAGTGCATGAATTAGTCTGGACTTATGCCTTGATAGTGCAATCTCATTTAGATACCATGCAGCACTTTGTAAGTTTGACTCACACATTGTAGAACCTCCGAGTCGGGCAGTCCTTACTATACCCCTAACACTGAGCCCCAGACAGCAAAACAGCAAGTGTAATCTTTTAATGTCTTTGGTATGACACAACTCGGGAATCGAACCATCGACCCCTTCCCCTCTTCAGACACAGAGGCGGTTTGGTCAACAGATGGTAGTAATCAAATTATATTACATGCATTTTGTCTTAGCCTTTGCGGGGCGGTCGGGTAGCCTAGTGGTTAAAGCGATCGATCGTCACGCCGAAGACACGGGTTCGATTCCCGACATGGGTACAATGTGTGAAGCCCATTTCTGGTGTCCCCCGCCGTGATATTGCTGGAATATTGCTAAAAGCGTACTCACTCACTCTTAGCCTTTGCTATAAGACATCCTTTCTGATTCACTGCACACCACCATCTTCTACAACTTTACCCCCCTTTAACCAAGCCATTAACTGTTAAACCGTCGTGCTGAGTGTTGTTTACAATGATTGTCTTGGCTAAAACTCTCGTGCAAGAATAATGCAAAATGAGGTAGTGACATTACAGTAATCGACCTAAAGATACAATGTATATCAAATAAGGAGGCATGATGTGTCACTCACCAATGATAACCTGCATCCAGAAAGCCGATGTGAGCACGGTGACAGTCAGTATCCACACACCCGACATGTTTGACAACCAGGAAGTTGTTTCCGCTTGACTGTATAGCTGGGACACCTGATGGTGCTCACTGTCAAAATAAAATGGACATCTATGAGCTGGGGCTGCTTACATACAATGTAAATATCTGAAACGCATGTCTGTCTTTGTCCTGTATCCGTACTTTGATTCGCGTGATACGCGTTTTCCATCACATAAGAACCTGCAGGACAAGTGTGTGCATTCCACACAGCTCAGGTGGAGTCAACTTTCCTGTGACACACTTGTCTCACTAGTTATAGCGAGGTTGATACAGTAATGTCCTTCTTCGCGACCTGTTTCTGTGGTCTAGTAGAGCGTCAGCCTTAGAGCGGGAGGTCGGCGGTTCGATCAAGTGGCCGCGTCATACCAATTGCAAGATTAATAATTAAGATGGTACTTGTTGTTACCCAGCCTGGCGCTTGCATTACAGTCCCAAAACAAGGACAGGTATATTTATTGTAATTGTAATTGTGTCATGTTTAGATAGTATATTTGAATGTTGTGTGAGTTATATGCTGACGCCTTGCTTTGAAATAATCATTCTTATTTTAATATTTTTGTTTGTGCAATGATTATACCATCCATGTCATTATATGCAGTTCATCTCGTAGTATCTCAACCCTAACGCCTTTACTTTACCACTCACCACTGATATATTTATTTGTATCCTTTGCCATCTGCTCGTACGGCAGTTTGTTCACACTTCCGGTGGTCTCGCTCTCAGTGCATCTCTTAAATTGTAATAATGTTTCTTTATCACTCTTGTCAGGCCAATTGACCTTGTTTTAGTATTATTCTCCCATAGCCGTGTTATCGTTAACCAACATCCATGTAGATAAATTTCTTATATACTCCCATGATATCTTTCACTACCGGGTATGTGCAGTGTGAAGGAATGACATCACATGTGTATTTATGTAAATTCCTTTCAGCCTGCATGCGTTGGAATGGTTTTACGTTACGTACGGCTGCTGTTCCAGCATGGCTTCCGTTTCCGAGTGTCAACAAGACTTGCCAAGCAGTAATCTCAACACTAACTTGCGGGGTACCATTACCAATTTATCAGTTTATCCAACAAGTCCCCAGCCTGATGTATCTAGCTTGACAGATTCAGTCCCTGTGATCCCCTCGGTGGCGGGATTGCAAAAAGAAATCGCCGAACTTAGACAACTGATCACAACCACATGGCTCAGCGCGATGCCTCTACTAGGCCACCCTACACCGAATACCCTGAGTTGTATCGATACTTCTCTCCTGACCCCCGCTAGCAACTCAACAGAGGTTCCATCAGACTCCTTACCTCATATCCACACAGTGTCCCCCACCTTAAGGACAAAAGATCCAGGAAGATAAGGAAGGAAGGAAGGAATATGTTAATTTGGCTTTGTTGACATTACCTAACCAGGACAGTTTGGATACTAGAGTAACTGAATTCGACGGGAATGTATACTCGCTCAAAGATGACCCCAGGCCGAATAGGACACTGACACTCGGAGAGTTTATCAAGGCATTCGGTATTTACAAAGACATTTATTGTGAGAACAATGATGCCAAAAGGAAACAGCTGGATGGCCACGAGCAGACTGTGATCGAATTTGCTACTCTGTATGGTGGGACATGCTACTACGACTACCACAAACTTTTCGCAGCTCGTGTGGCAGCTTTTGAAGCAAAAGGAGTTGTCATTCGATGGGACATGAGAGACTCAAAACTCTACAGCCTGTGTTCCTCAGGGCACCGTACCAGGACGTGTTCAGTGTGTCAAAGTGTAACCCACAGCACCGACGTCTGCCCGAGTATAGCTACAGCTCGCCGACCAATTGGCAGGCCTCAAGGCAGACATGTTCCATATGACCGACGAAATGTGGACAGTAATGCCACGTACATAGACTCCAGAGGTAGACCTCGTGTTCGACGTGATGGACAAGAGATCTATAACAACTTTAATGATAGCGGCTGTAGCTGCCAACAGTGTCCTTTCATACATACCTGCCTCATTTGCCATTCAAGAAAGCACGGCAAGACAAAATGCCAGAAAGCGAAGAAGAATTGACTACACTATGCCTTAGAGAGAAAAAAGTACTAAGCAGACATTGACGTTAACACCTATTTACATTGAGAGATTAAAAGCGGACTTACAATTCCACCCAGACAAGTGTTTCATCAATTATCTCATTTCTGGCCAGGAGACAGGATTCAATCCAATGTTAGACTCTGTGCCTAAGTCGACAGTGGAATGCTGCAACAACCTTAGTGCCAGGAGAAATCCGGTGGATGTGTCCGCAGCTGTCAGGAAAGAATGTGCCAAATAGTACCTTATCGGGCCTTTCCAGGAGGCCCCCTATGACACATACAGGGTTAGTCCACTTGGACTTGCCGAGGGGAAATATTCTCGGAAGAAACGTTTGATATTGGACTTATCGGCCCCCCCATGATGATGATACCGTCCCAAGCATCAACCAACTAATTGACAAGACATGATCATGCCATTTCTATCATTATTCAGCTCGGAAGATAGGCCCTCATGTGTAAGGCAGATATAACTGATGCCTTCAAGCAGATTCCATTAAGCCCCGACTACTGGCCATATTTCGGGTTCAAGTGGGAAGGACTGTACTATTTCTACACCCGGCTAGCCTTCAGTTGCCGATCTAGCCCCAAAATATTTGACACTGTCTCAGCCTTTTTGCTGGATTCTGAGACACAATCACGACTTCCTTCATGTGCTACACCTCTTGGACGACTTCCTAGTCCTTGACCCTCCAGGCCACGACGCTGTATCGACCATGAGCACTATATTGTCTCTCTTCAAGAGACTCAACACTCCTCTAGCTCTCCATAAGACACAGGAACCCCTTACAGAGATCGCGTATTTAGGCATCATTCTTGATTCAAATCATATGACTGCTATGTTACCTCAAGATAAACTCCAACGTATAGCAGAGCTCCTTGGCAGATACTCCACCAAGAGAAGTTGCACCATGAGAGAACTTCTCTCCCTGCTCGGACACTACGCTTGCAGAGTGATCGTGCCAGGCAGGACGTTTGTCTCCTATTTGATCGAACTTTCCACAACTGTTGATAATTTGCGTCACCATGTAAGCTTGTCAGGCGATTGTAAAAAAGATTTGGAACAAGTTCTTGATAGAATGAAATGGTATTTCCCTCTTCCACGACCTCCACATCTCACCTACCCCAGACATTGAGCTTTTCACTGATGCGGCGGCTACAGTGGGACACGGGGGCTATTACCAAGGTGCCTGGTTCCCTGAAAAATGGTCGGAGGAAGTGCTATGTAGTATGTCCGGTGAATTGTCTATGGCCTTCATGGAACTCTACCCGATCGTCGTGGGGGCTATTCTCTGGGGTCATCTCTGGGAGAAAAAGCGTGTTATTGTGATAATCAGGCTACCGTGTTCATCATCAAGAAGGGTAGATCTAAATGTAAAGTTATCATGTCCCTCA